AGACGAATCATGCTCTGAGACGTTTTTTTGCAGTTTATCATCGTGTCACTGAAAGAGGGTATGTTTAATCACGCAAATGTGCTTTACCGCACGAAATTCTGCGACGGAACTTCGCAAGTTACTCGTACGACTAACAAATCATCGAATTAGTTGCATCGCACTTCTATTGTAATAAATAAACTTACGAGTACAAGTACATTCATTATATCTCAATAAAAGTTCATTTTGTTAATTATTATGTGTCACATAACTTCCCATAACATGCTTTGGAGATTAGTGCTTTAGATGATTTCGTATCTTTCACTGTTATTTTTCACGTGAATTTTGTTTTTCCCATTATATGATAATGTAATAAAAGCAAGAAAATAGCTTCTTAATGTTGTCTGACTCTTCATTATCGAGGAAGTCGATTAACATATAAATATTTTATCGCGTAAACGTCTCATCCGACGCAGTCAAATGCTGATTTGCGCTGAATATATTGATGAAACAAAAATCGGTGTTCACTTAGTAGGAGGATGAATAAATTTCTCCTTATTCCGAAAAATTACGGAATATGTGGATCTAAACAAGATTTTCCCTAACGAAATCGATATATCGGTTTACAATTGCCGAGAAAAATCAATATATTGATTGGAATAGCATCATTAACACTAAACAAGATTTTTATGCGGTTATTCCTATTACTGATAGTAATAATGTGTATGTCAAAACATAAGATTGCGCATCCAGGTAAGACTGGAAAATCGATTCGCTGTTTTTTTTATTCTAATGAAACTTTGGAAAGGATTTGATCATAGTTGAGACAGAATGTCCGTGTTCGAATAAAACGAACATCTCGAAAAATTCGACGGTCGAAAATTCAAGGAAATGTATTTATTCGACTTTTTGAATTGCCAAATATTTGAAAAGATACATTATTGTTCATCGACGTTCGAATATTCATTTCGGATAGTTTTGCCACTGGAAATTGAAGTATTCAAACGTTTAATGTCTGCGAAGTCATCAAATATTCTTTAGTTTGAATAGATAGTTTGATAGTTTGAGTAGGTGCGAAGTCTTTGAATATGCTTGAGATCGATTATTCATTTTTAAACAAAGTGTTT